ATGCCTTCTACCTTTATTCTGCAATCACATTGAACTTGCCATTGCAATCATGTTTTCTGGTGAAATTGTTGGTGGTTTATAACTTTGGAGGATAAAGTTGATGCGGTGGTGGTAGTCATGGACTTTTCTGGGTGCTTTTCTCTGTAGTTCAAGAATAGCATGCTTAATAAGGTGTAGGACACTTTCTATATTGCCCCAATAATTGGTTAATTTGTCTGTATCATCAACTATGAATAAAACTAGGATGTAGATTTTCAAATCTTCCCTCTTTTCCCACAATGCCTCAGCAAAATAACCTCTCAGTGTAGCACAAATCTGAGCACATGTATGATAGTGAAACCGGTACAACGAAAAATCAGAAAGTTGTTGACCACATCCACTTTGACGGATCCATGTCAGGGTCCTGCAAATGGATGATTGAGATGACGGTGATTCTGTAGAACAATAAATAGGGTTTTACTCCTATAACATGCATTAAGGACACAAGAACTGAAAGTAAAGGTAGCGGTGTAAGAGGTTCTGCAGATATTAAGTTCAACATTGATTCAACCATTTTCATATCAGTCGTGGTCTCCACTGAAGGTGGCAAAAATGAAGACCCAACCCAAGATCCACTGCTGAATGGGGCTCATCTTGGATGGAGTGATAAAGTCAAGTATTCCACAAATACTACTAGAGATGATGTACTACCTGGAGTTATTCCTTCACGTGGAAGTGAACATTCAACTACAGGTATCAGTAATTAAGTGAGAACTTGAGAATGCTTTTTCTTTGGCATTACACATTATTTGTGTTTAGTGAACTCAGATGCTAAAGGCCAATAAGTTTATTAGGTGAGGATACTGTGTTACTCCAAAGTGAACAGGAAGCATTGTTTAGGTGTTGCAACATGGTAATTAAATAGTTCTGAGTTATAATTAGGTTTAAAGACAGATGGGTCTGAACTGCAGAATTTGGAAGATTTCAGATACATGGCTCCATTTCATTCCATTAAAGAGAGAAACCCAAATCCACGAAGTTTGGATCCAGAACCAACTCTCTGTTTCTATTTATTGACTGTTTTAGGGACAGATGGTACCAGATAAGCACTACATTTTTATGGGGCTTGTGCAGAGCCTCCTCCTTCCCTCTCTTCCCCCAATTTACCAACTGGAAGTTTGGGGATTAATTGTGACTTATGCAATCTGGCATATGGAGAGACTGTGCATGCTGCACCATCCATTTAGATGTACATGAGATGCCTCTAACATCCTGATAGCTTCCTTTTTGGTTGTGAGATAGTAACGTTGTTTTTTTCTGGCTGTGAGGTATATTATGAGGGGTGGCATCAGGTTGGACAATAAACTTTACAGTAAGGATTTGGGTGTCAAAGTTTTATTTTATAAATATTTTAAAGCTGTTTTATTCTTAGATTTTAAGGCCAGAAAAGACTGTTATGAACATCTGCTCCTTCCTTTGGCATAACACAGGACATAGAATTTAGCTCAGTAATTCCTGCATCAATCCCATAATATCAGGGTAAACTAGTAGAGCATTAGTCAGTGAAGTTTGTGTGAGTGTAACACGGCCTTCTCTGTGAGCATTCTCTGTGCTTGCAATGTGGGGCTTTTTTAAGAATTGAAAGAATAAATGCCACCTTCTCTAAATAAATCAATAAATAAAGTCCACACTTTCTTGGGTTTAGCTGGTGTACTTTTCTCTTGCCGTTGCTTTGTGCTGATGGTCAGTGCTTATTGCAAAGGGTTGTCTATAATCTTTTCATCTTCTGATTATGGGCCCTTATTTAACCATGAGCGTTTCACTCATGGAATTCACTGATATCAAAGGCAATATTCTTAGACTATGTTCTAAGTCATCCTAATCTTACATGCATCATGTTTGCCAGTGTGTTTTCTGAAAGGCTTTTAACTTTGAAGGGTAAATCTGGTGTGGTGGCAGTGTTTCAAGACATTTCTGACTGCATCTCCTATGTCTAAACAACAGCACCTTGAATAGTGAACAAGACAATTCATTTACTGTGTCAGCTGCCATTTTAATACAGCACAGAATACCAATACAAATATATTTTTCAACTTCAAATGTATATACACAAGTACTCCAGATATCCAACCATCGTATCCTATACCATTTTCGCAAACAAAGGCAACTTACCTGGAGCCAAATCTATAATTATTCAGAGAAGTAGAGTAAATGGTGGATTCTCTGTAACTTGAAGTCTTTAAATCAAGATTTCATAGAATCATAGAATCCTGGACTTTAAGGTCAGAAGGGACCATTATGATCATCTAGTCTGACCTCCTGCACAATGCAGGCCACAGAATCTCACCCCCCACTCCTGTATCAAACCTGTGTCTGAGCCATTGAAGTCCTCAAATCATGGTTTAAAGACTTCAAGATGCAGAGAATCTTCCAGCAAATGACCCATGCCCCACGCTGCAGAGGAAGGCGAACCCCCCCGCAGTGCTCCTGCCAATCTACCCTGGAGGAAAATTCCTTCCCGACCCCAAATATGGCGATCAGCTAAACCCTGAGCATGTGGGCAAGACTCACCAGCCAGACACCCAGGAAAGAATTCTCTGTAATAACTCAGATTTGAGGACTTCAGTAACTCAGCCAGAGTTTATGGGCCTATTACAGGTATGGGTGGGTGAGGTCCTGTTGGCTGTGATGGGCAGGAGATGATCATGATGGTCCCCTCTGGCATTAGAGTCTATGAGGTACTATCTTTAAAAAAATGATAATTTCCACTTGTATGAATCCAGAAGCCACAGACTCTGCCTATTAATTGGCATCTATCAAAGATGAGTGAGAGAGGAACAAGTTGCTGCTGTTACTTTTTCTGTCACTGCTGCAACTATGACCTTTTCTGCTATTGGCATCTTTCATTGGGACAATCTCCAACAAGCTTAAAACTTGTTACTTGTATTGTTGTTACACTTAAAACCCCCAATCCCGCCACAGATTTGCCCTATAAGCACTATAATACCTAGTTTAAAGTCTATTGATAAATCTCAGTTTTGCATGGAATCATCAGGTCAAAACTTCCAGTTTTTTGGGGATTATTTTGATTATTCGGTTGATTATTTTGTTGTCTTTTCTTTTGGGTTTTTAAAGGTGTTGGTATTTTCTTTGGTTTCTCTGTGCTTGCAGAAGAGAATAAAACAGGACTAACAAATGTTAGCACTAATAATTATTCACCTGAAAATCCCCACTGGACATTTATTATTTGCTATTCATTTGACCCATTATTTGAAAGTTTCTGTGATCCACCCTGGAAACAGAAAGAACACCATGTGATTTATAGCCATTGATTATTGACTATTTTTTGTGTGTCATGTGGTTTGATATTCACAAACATTTCATAGATTCATAGACTTTAAGGCCAGAAAAGACCATCATGATCATCTTGTTTGACTTCCTGAATATCTCAGGCCACAGAACCTCACCCACCCAATTCTGTAATAGACCCATAACCTGTGGCTACATTACTGAAGTCCTCAAATCATGATTTAAAGACTTAAAGTTATAGAGAATCCACTGTTTACTCTAGTTCAAACCAAAAATGACCCGTGCCCTATGCTGCAGAGGAAGGTGAAAACCCTCAGCGTCACTGCCAATCTGACCTGAGGGAAAATTTCTTCCTGACCCCAAATATGGTGATCAGTTAAACCTTGAGCATATCAATGAGACAAACTGTAATCTGAATAGGATTAGTTCAAACAATTCAGATAATACTTACTAATAACTCACAGATTTGAGAAAATTGAAATGAAATGGCTTGTCTCAATTGTCAGAATCTGCCTGTCTGGAGACAAGCACTGTAATGTATATAAAGCACTGAAATCCCCCCAAAAGAAAATGATTCTTCCCTGCCATATTTGTTATTCAGTCTTCATGCCATGTAACTGAGATCAAACTGAGTTACAAAGGCACGCTGATGCTGCTATTTCTACTCTTCTCGCTGTTGCTTTTACCTGTATTGTCAGAGGATTTCTGTTGAAAACATTGCCCCTGAACAGGAACATGGCCAGTGATGGTGATAATGTTATAGAAAATAGATAGTCCTCTCTGCTTTTCTGTTCTTATGCTCTAAAGCCCCAATTCAGCAAACACTTAAGAATATTCTTAACTTTGAATATGTGAGTGGTCGCACATGATGACGTGTTTGGTGCAACACCACCTAAATACAGCAGGAATATCAAATTAAATATTGCCCATTTCATTCCATCATTTTCTTACATGTTGTTATGTGTCTTTTACGTTACAGAAGCAGGTTTGCGCCCACCCATGGTCAGACTCTACTTGTCTGGAGGGAGTGTAACTAAATGAAACAGTGAAATCTTAAAAGAGAAAATTAATAGTTGTTGTTAATGAGACATAATCCTCATTCTGAGTGTCTGATCAAACCTGAATTATGGGACCAAATTCTTGCAGCCACTTCTTCTTTGTTGTTCTTGCTTCTGTGCCCATTTTCACTGCGTTTATGGTCAGCCAAGACACAGTCTTGAAAAATAGTACGGTGCTGGTAAAAAGATTTAGAAAACTACTGATGTATCTTGAGTCAGAAGAGCATTTAAGTATGAATTTAAGTCCTGTTGATGTCAGTGGGGCAGTTTTCTGAATTGAGATAATAAAGAGGAGCAAAACCTTTATACTCTTTCTATGCTACTAAGTGTAGTAGATATATGAAAGGACAAGGCCTGTTGTACAGAGAAGAACTGAAGAAGAGAATAATATAAAGAGTGATTCTGTGTGTATTAATTTCACAATTGCTTCACCACCATCATAATAGCTATGGTCTCCAGTGTTGGGACCAAACATGAAGACTCAACCCAAGATCCACTATTGCATACTGTTCATCCTGGTTGGGGCAATGCAGACAAGTATCCCACGAATGTCACTAGGGATGATGTGCTGACTGGAATTATTCCTCCAAGTGAAAAAGATCAGGAAAAGGAATCATCTCAGACAGGTACCAGAAAGAATAATTAATTATGCGTAAGAATTTCTAAAGCACTCGGCATTGACCTAAATCTGCTTTCATTGAAATCAGTAGGAGTTTTACTATTTATTTTGACAGGAGAAGAGTTTGACCAATGCTGAATACTTTTCAAAATTCCACCCTATAGTTCATTTACTCCCTATTTGGAAGGAATAACACTACTTCTATATCTGTGTAATTTTATTATGATACTCTATTGAAAGTCTCTTGATAAAATTTGGTTTAGAGTGGTACTGTGATAATCATTAGCATGGAATCTAAAATTTCCTAGGTTGTTTGCATTTTTCTGAGTTGATGTATTGGGGTTTTCTCTGACAATGCTATTAAAGCTTGCTGAATAATGAAAAGCAAGATTCACACATAACGTATAGGTAAAAGTGAAATCCCAAAAGAGAAAATTATTAGTCACTATCATATTAATGGTCAATCCTCAAACTCAGTAACTGAGATAAGACTTGGATTACAGAGGCAACTTGCTGCTGCTATATCTTTTCTTGCTAAGACATCTATCTATGTTATAAGCATGGATAAATTCAGCCAAATCATAGTGCCCAAACAGCAAGATGGTGTTGGTTAAAAGTTGAAAAAAACAATGATAATGTGGAGCAAAATAGAGGGTCTCTGCTTTCCTTCTCCTACAAACTTAATACAATAAAATATAAAACGTAATGGCCAAATGTAGAGCTGAAGATGAGAATATTCTGCAAATATTAAGTTCACAACTGATTCAACCATCATCAAAAAGCTGCCATTGCCAGTGATGGTGCCAAACGTGAAGACTCATCCCATAGTATACTCACCCATGTGGATCCAGGATGGGACAGTAAAGACAAGTATCCCACAAATACCACTATGGATGATTAGCTACACAGTGAACACGAAGATGAATCTCATCACTCTCTGTGAAATGAGATATTATTTCTTCTGCACAGTTCTCAAATAAAATATTTCATAATAAGCTTTCACAATGTGAACCAAGGAGAAGTTGCCAGGTATCCATAGATAGTGCTAGATGTTTTAATAATTGCTGTTCTCACTACTCTCTCTCTTCCTGGATATTGGCATGATGGAGGTTTTTTTATTCTGACTCTCTGTATTAGATACTTATTAGAGACTCTTCCGCCAAGAACAGTGGAAGTTTTGTTCTTTCATAAAGTATGCTTATTGAATATCTTACTAATCATTTGACAGTGTGGTAATGGCAAACCCTCACATTTTTGTATCTTGTTTCCTATTAACCTTTATATTTCATCACGTAGGGAGGTGGTGGAATCTCCTTCCTTAGAGGTTTTTAAGGTCAGGCTTGACAAAGCCCTGACTGGGATGATTTAGTTGGGGATTGGTCCTATTTTGAGCAGGGGGTTGGACTAGATGACCTCCTGAGGTCCCGTTCAACCCTGATATTCTAAGATTCTACAATTATCCCTATGGCTCATCAGCAATCTCTTTATAGCAGAGCATTATAAAGGGATCAGGGAATGGATTTGACATAATAATTAGAGTATCATAAATTCTTCATTCCATCATACCATTTTATGTTGTGTGTGCCTTTTATGCCACTGAAACGTTCTAAGGAATGTCGCCTAAGGACTGTCACAATAATGAATCAGTGAAATCTCAAAAGAGAAAATCTTGTCATACTAATTGGTTATGGTTCCAATGTTCAGCATCTATAATCAATCCTAAGTTACAGGGTAAGATGTCACTGCTACTTGCTCTGAGTATTTTGACAGTCTTGCTTCTATGTCTATTGTCTATTGTCACTGGAACTCTTCCAAATTAAACCATAATCCTGAGAAATAGCAAGAGAGTGTGGGTTGAAAAGCTGAGAAACCAATGACAATGTGAAAGAAAGCAGAAGGCCCTCTCTTCTAATGCTCTAAATACAGTAGAAATGCAAAAAATTATGGCCAAATATAGAGCAAAGAACTGAAGATGAGAATAATGTGGATAGTGTTTTTGCAAATATCACACAGCTGATTCAACCATTGTCATAACAGCTGTTACCTCCAATGATGGTGCCATATATGAAGACTCAATCCATGATTCACTGCCTCCAGATAATCAACCAGGATGGGGCAGTGAGGACAAATATCCCACAAATACCTCCAGGGATTATGTTATACCTGGACTTATTCCTGAAAATGAAGACGAGTCTTATACAGGTACCAGTAAGAATAATGAATTATATTAATTTCACCACCCTGTGTGTAATGAGACATTATTTCTTCTGCATACAATTTATTCACTATCATACCTTGTTGGAAATCTAAATTCTCAGCACAGAGGTGCATTGGTGTGGTGACGGTGTTTTTGACCTTATTGCATGGAATCAGTTGCACAACAATTTTTATTTTTTAAATTTTCTTCTCTTTTTTTCTGGGTCTGTACATTGGACTTTCCTCTGCCTTTTTCTGTGTGCTGTCTAGAACATACTGAATAGTGAAACTAAGATTCAAAAATGTATTTGTGAATCTGAGCCTTGAATTGAATTTGATCGTATATTTTGCTTTCTCCTTATTCGGTGACAACCAGGGATTTCCCTAAACCGGGGAAATCCCTAAATGTCTTGGCAGGCCAGGTTGCTAGACATATGTCGAAGATAGAGCCTGATAATTCCAAAATCCCATTCTTTTTATCCTATATTAGCAGCAGCCTAAATATTTTCTGTCTCATTGTTGTGCTTTAATGACATTCTGATTTTCCGAGATAAATTTGGTGAGGTGCTGTTGCATTTATGAGCTTATCTGACTGCTTCTCCCATTGGCTGAGATCAGACCTGAATTCCAGAGACAAGTAGATACTTCTGCTTTCCCTGCTCAGGCTTCCATGTCCATTATCATTAGGGTTCCGTTAAGCCACAGTAATCCGACAGTGTTGGTTAAAAAGGTGAGAAATGTGGCTCAAAAGCTTCTGAGCTTCTCTCCTCTGATACTCTAAATACAGCAGAAATTTTAAAGAGCAAGGCCAGGCATAGAGGCAACTAACGTGGCTAGTGCTTTTGCAATTATTAAGTTCCCAATTGCTTCACCATCATTATAACAGCTGTGGTCTCCAATGATGGTGCCACACATGAAGACTCAACCCAAGATCCATTGTTGCACAGTGTTCATCCTGGCTGGGGCAATGAAGACAAGTATCTCACAGCTATCTCTAGGGATGATGTGCTACCTGGAATTATTCCTCCAAGTGAAACTGAACATAAAAATAAATCTTCTCATACAGGTACCAGTAAGAATAATAAATTATAGTCTTGTTACTTCTTTTTTGGATGAGATAGTTTTAATTGTTATTTTGCCATTTATAATATGCTAAAAGTCTATTGATAACTGTTAGTGAGTTATGGCATATTATTGTACCTGTTTACAGGAAATCGGCTAATCAAAATTTTCTGTAATATTGTGAAATTATTTTTGTTTTAGTTTATTCTTGACTTGTTTCTTTTTGTGTTAAGAGTTTCCTCCTTGTGTTGTTGGATTGGTACATAATGAGCTTGCATGAGGGCTATTTTCCTGGTCTCCTTTGGTAATACGAGGTGTTCTAATCATCATTCTTCTTACTACTCTATCATTTTGTACAGCGTGGTGATGCCAAGCGCTCTCATTTTTGATCTTGCATTCCTGTTAACCTTTAGATGATCATCTCTGAGTTTCTGTTCTGGTGCGCTTGTAATTGGGGGATATAAATCTGGTGCGGTGATGGTGTTTTGGGTGAAATTTTCTGATGGCTTGCTCCTGTGGCTCACCAGTAACCCCTTTATAGAAGAGCACTGTCTAGAGGATCTGGGACAGGATTTTACAAAATAATTGCAATATCATAAATTCTCCATGCCATTCCATCAGACCTTCATACGTTGTGTGCGCCTTTTATGTCACTGAAGCCTGTTCTAAGCAGTATTACTTAAGAACAAGAACATAAAATAAATTAGTGAAATTTCTAAAGAAAAAATAATTGCCATATTTATTGGACATAGTTTCAGTGCTCAGCATCTGTAATCACTCCTGGCGGCTTCTTGCTCTTGGGTTTGTTTGTTTTGGGTTGTTTTATTTGGTGGTCTTGCTTCTGTGTCCATTGTCACTGAGACTCTTCTAAATTAAATCATAACCCTGAATAACAGCAAGGGGGTGTTGTTTAAAATGTTGAGAAACCAGTGACAATGTGAAAGAAAGCAGAAGGCTCTCTCTTCTTATGCTCTAAATACAATAAAAATGTAAAAGATCAAGGCCTGTTGTAAATACAACAGGACCAGAAGAGGAAAATAATGGTGGTGGTGGTTGTACAAATATTAAGTTTAAAATTGATTCAAGCATCATCATAACAGCAGTGGTCTCCAATGATGGTATCAAACATGAAGACTCAACTAAAGATCCACTGGCACCTGGCATTCAACCTGGAGGGGATAATGAAGACAAATATCCCACAAACAATCCCATTGATAATTTGATACCTGGAGTTTTTTCTGACATTGAAATTGGACATGGCAGAGGACCAGCTTCTACAGCCACCAGTAAGAACAGTGAATTACAATAATTTTGTCTAATCCTTCACCCTTTTTTTAATGTCTCCCGATATAAAGGTAAATTTGTAAAGTATTGGGAGAAATGTTATGATCTAAAAGATTTTTCTTTTAATTGGAGTTTTGAAAGCTAGAAAATAGCCTCCTACCAATGTGCATGAAAGACAAAGTGTTTTAATTGTAGAACTATGTGAAGTGGGATGATTTAAGACTAGTGTTTCCAGCAATCTTTCTTCTCAGAGAAGATGAGTAGCATTTCTTCCTTTCACCAACTCTGGGGATCCTCTCTAGAACATCAGAGAAATAAATGCATAACAAAACATCTGATTGCAATTGCTAGTGTTCCAGTGTCAAGCTGTGGAGATAGTATCTTCTATACTAAAGGCTCAAAACACAGAACACTTTTGTTCCATCTTCCTGATCATTTTATTCTCTGTCATCCAATGGCAGTTATTTTGAATGCTAGCAAAGTAACACTTAGTCCAACCAGCCCTCACCCCACCATCCTGATATTATGAACATGTACCATGGAAGAGAATTTTCAGTATGGCATTTCTGCCTCTCCCACCCCGTCCCCCCCTCGAGTAATTTTGCTGTTAAGTAACCCATCAGTGATTATTAGCATCTATGGGTGCTAGGAAGCAATAGGCTTTTAATTTCTCAGCTGCTTCAGTTTTGAAAGCTTGTTTCTGATAGAGCTAGTTTGTATAAAGAAATAACATGCATTGATCACAGTGTGAATTTTGTTGTTCCATGTTGTAACATGCAAGTAATTATATTGGAAAATTAAGTGGCTTTCCTGTATGCCCAAATGTACTTTTCATTTAAATTATCAACCCAGAGGCTAAGGTTTTCCTAAATGCTACACCTTCCCAGTCATGCTGCGTCAAATTGTCTGCTGTTATAACTCCATAGAAGTCAATACAGTCGTGCCAGCAGAGAATTTGTCAAACAATCTACAGTCATTTTTTGCACACAACCAAGAATATGAACCTGTATTAATACCACATCTCTTATCAAAGTATTTTTGAAGATAGTCATGAAACATTAATAGTTTAAAAGAGTTAGAATTTGCATCAAATAAACTCTTTAATTTGATTTTGAAAGGAGCTTTGAATATGAAAAATGAGTTGGTTCTATGGTGGAGACACACTGATTTGGTTTCTATAGTTTCTGGACTCTATCTGGGTTACATTAAATGTTCTAGATGTTACTCTCTTCTCACACCAGTTTTACACTGGCATAATTCCATTGGTTTTGGTGGAGGCAGTGTTATTTACATTGGTTTAAGTGAGATCAGAACTCAGCCCTCAGTCTTTTCAGATCTTAATGAACAACATGATACAAACTCAGCAAAATAAACTAGATCAAAATTGCCTTTAGAGGCCAAATTTTATAGAGCATAGATGCCTCAAGCATTATAAATTTAATAAATATATTTTATAAAATGCTATTTTATTTTTCTATTTGTCATATTTAAATGTGTAACTTGCAAAGTCATGTCTCCTGACTTCCAGTCCCCCATTTTATTAGGCTGTCTCCCTAATTTACTGTGTGCACATTAGACACTGTGTAGAAATGTTTGGTTGCTTTTCTTTTTTGAATATGTAGAATCTGACAGAGCTGGCGCTGAGGTAACTTTCAAGGATCATCTGTTTAGATTCTTAGCAGAATCAAAGACATGATATTAACAGAGCAACAGAGCTCATGAGACTCTTCCCAACATTTTTCCTGCTATGCTAAGGCTGTGCGTCCATTTCTTTTAGTGCTATGGCATTATAGCAAAGCAGAGAGAATGCTAGGTCACAACTCTGTCATAGTGGAAAATGTGTGCGCACATTGAGGGAGTGAAGGAAGGTCTTTTTTTCCTAAAATGGGTCCTGCAAAGCATGAATGGGATGACAAAGAAAGTTCACTTCACGTGTTAAAAGAACATATTTAAAGGCTCATTTTGAAGAAATTCTTTGCTCAGTTTGCTATGCCTCATGTTTTGACTTGCTTTTCCTATATAGTCATGTTCAGCTGTGGTCTGACATCATAAATATGACTGATCTTTTGCCCAAAAGCCACAGTGGGATAGTGAAACCATACACTGAAGAAATCCAAATACATATTTGATTCTTCACAAAGAAAGAATATGGTTAAGTTGTCATAAGATGAACCTCACAGAGGTCCCTAGTGCCCCTGTCTGTCTACTTCCTGCAAGTGTCTCCTATGGAGGGGATAATCTGGGCCTGTGATGTTAAGTTGCATAGTTGAATCCTAGATGTTGTGAATATTTATGTGGTGTGGATAGTATAGTTCTAGACAACTAAAATCTTTAGTAAATAGCTGGGCTTTATTGCTATACAAAAGTTAGCGGTTCAGTTCAAAGGGGTTTTGTGGATGGAGCATCATGCTAGGGCCTCTGATCAGGTAACAATGTCTCTTGAAGTCTGTGGGTACCCAATCCACCGTAATAGTTTAACCATCTTTGTCTGTTTTCTTGGAGATCAGCTCAGCTCCACCAGATGCTAAATTCAGCGCTCAGTTCTTGTTGCTGGGCTATGAATTTCCCATGAGATAGCATGAAGTAGCCCATCAGACATAATTAAAAACATCTGGAGGTTTCATGAAGAGCCTGTTAACAGCAGAAAAAAAATGTGCTTCTTAGTTGTGTGTTTGCCCGCTATTATTAGGAAATGAGGTCAGAGATTTTGGCCAGAGAGGAGTCATGAAGTGCTTTGAAGGATGAGGGGAAGTTTAAACTGGACAAGGGAGAATCTATGAGGAATTCAAAGGGTATATAGGTGTGTGTGGCGGGGTGGCTTGACTGGAAACGGGCACCAATGTGGGGATAGAGGAGGCCAAGATGTTACCATACTCAAGAATTAAGTTGATTGGTGCATGGCCCAGCAAATGTTATTTAATGAGAAATAGGCCAGAGTGGGGGTATGTGGTTGAATTGCAGACCTAATTCAACTTCACAACTCAATGTCAAGATTGTCTTCCAGAGGCTTCACTTCTGGAACATGAAACTTCTGTGAACTGTAACCATATCAGCAGCTAAACATAGTGCCTAGGGTCTAGAAGGACCATTCATAAAACCAGCACCAGCCGACATGGTGATCTCCTGGTTCAGCACGAAAGAGATACCTGCTCCAAGCTTAACCCACTGGACCTATCTCTATAATGTGATCAGTTGATGTCACTGTAGCAATGTTTGTGATCTTACAGACTGATTTGGCTAACCAATACCAATGTAAAATCCACATATAGCATGGATTATAAACTTACTCTGGTAAGTAAATTGCTATGTGGCTGACTCCATTTGATTTGTGAAATCATGGAATCACTTGGGTCCTAGTCAATCCAGTTCTTCTTTTGCTCCCCAGACAGAAGGCTTTGAGAGTGCTGAGAGGACAGCGTGCTTGGCCTGATTGGAGAGAGTACCTCACACGTTGCTCAACAGCATAACCGCTGGTTGTTTAAGGGCAGAGTCTCATCCAATATAAGGCCAGAAAGTACTTGTTGTAGGTGCATGATGGTGATAAAATGACAAAGGGATCTATCTGCAAGTGGGCAGAGGACAATCCTTCCATTAGGAACAACATTTTGATGTTTGAGACCTCTTCATGATAGTAGCTATCACATTTAGAGCTGGCCAGTAAATTACAATTCTGTTTCATGAACATTTGAGGTTTCCAGATTTGTTTTTTTGTTGCATATTGGAATGAAAACAAAACCTTTAGAAAGTTTTCATGAAACAGATTTGTGTTGAAATCTCCATTTTTGGATTTAAAAGGTCAGGTTTTTAATTTCCCTGTCTCGCTTTCTCTCTCTCTCCCTCCCGGGAATTGACCAGACAGTCCTTCCTGGACCTCAGAAACCTTCCTGTCAAAAATTTCATCAAAATCAATACCTTTCTGCAAAACATTTTTATTTTGATGAAACAGCATTTTTGAGTGGAAATTTTCTGAACAGCTTCACGTTTTAACTGAAACAGTAACATGATAAAAAGTGAAAACCGCCCCAAAACAGCAAGATGCTATTGTTGAGAAAAATGAATCATATTATTCAAGATAACGAGGCCAGCCCTAGTTATACTGATTATGAACATATTTTGATGAGCTGTGGGCTGTGCAACGTTTTTCTATGCTACTTTAGTATGAGATTTTGCAGTGTAAACTCCTTCTTTCTGGACTCAAGGTGAACTTTGTAGTCATATCATCCTTTTAATTGTGAAAGGGCAAATTTGTAGTTTATAGCTGCCTGTTAAATATTCTGTAGGCTTGTTGGTCATAATGGATGTTTTTGTTGTCTAGGTTCTACACTTAACAAACACGATGGCAGAAGAGCAAATCCATCTGGACAGGTCACAACACCAAAAACAGCTTCACAGCCGAGATCAGCCCAAATACCAGGTTGGTATCTCAAGCCATTGCCTTTGACAGTTTGATCACAGAAAGAAATGGAGATGAAGAGGGTATTATAGGAGATCATAGCTAATCCACATTCCTGCCAATGCATTCGGTTCTTCAACTCTGAAGCAAAATATTCAGGACACTTGGAAAGGTGAAAGAAGAGATCTAGAGCACTGGGAGGTTCTGCATATGTGGCAGATGCTTTTTCTAATATATTATCTACTATGTGTATTATTATGTGTTAGAAAGATATCATACCAGATTCTACCTCCATTGTATCATGCCCAACACAATATCAATGGAAGTAATCCCATAAAAGTAGCTTCACTGTTGGGCCTAATTTTGATCTCACTTACATTGGTATATCTCCACTGACGTAGTGGATTTACTCTCAATTTATACTCGGGGTAAATGAATTCAGAATCAGGCTCAGAATTTACAGTCCGTGTCAGGTTCTCATGGAGTAGCTCTATGATGCAATGTTTGGATTGTAAACAGTGTAGGGGAATTTATTAACTGGGAACAAATAAACAAAAAAGCCTTTCTCTATTGTTTCCAGATTTCTGCTGGTATGATCCAGTTTTTCTGAAACTAAAAACGGAGGGCAAAGTTGACCTCAAAATGTCCCCTTAAAGCAGGGGTGGGCAAACTTTTTGGCCTGAGGGCCACATCGAGTTTCGGAAATTGTATAGTGGGCCGGTTAGGGGAGGCTGTGCCTCCCCAAACAGCCAGGCGTGGCCTAGCCCTGCCCCCTATCTGACCCCCTCCCGCCCCGCTTCTCACCCCTGCCCCATTCAACTCTTGTTCCCTGCCCTCTGACCTTCCCGACCCCTATCCACACCCCCGCCCCCTGACCACCACCCCGAACTCCCCTGCCCTCTATCCAACCCCCACATTCCCTGCCCCCTTACCGTGCTGCCTGGAGCACCAGTGGCTGGCGGTGCTACAGCTGTGCCGCCCGGCTGGAGCCAGCCACGCCACCACACAGCACAGAGCACCAGGTCAGGCTGGGCTCTGCAGCTGCGCTGCCCCAGGAGCTCGCAGCCTGCCCCCAGAGCATTGCGCCGGCGGCACAGTGAGCTGAGGCTGTGGAGGAGGGGGAACAGCAGGGGAGGGGCTGGGGGCTAACCTCCTGGGCCAGGAGCTCAGGGGCCAGGCAGGAGGGTCCCGCAGGCCATAGTTTGCCCACCTCTGCTTTAAAGGTTTAGGAACTCTTTAAATGGCAAAATGAAGAAAAGTGTAGACCTTCCACTTTGCTTTTAAGTCACCTCTATTTGCATATTGTTTCAGATATCTCAAAAACAGGCCTCTCTGTCCCACTGAAGAAGTAAATGACTAATTCAAATCCTTTCCCCCGCTGTAGGCCCAATCACTGTCTCACAGTACAGAGTTTCCAGATGTTAACATTCAGCGACAGTTTTGTTTAATTTGACATTCACATAATTAAATGTATTTCTCATTCACATGCTCAGTGTAACTACCAGTAATGTCTTAGCACAGTTTTACTTACACTCTTGTGTTAGTACCATATTATATTTACATTCTTGCATATTAGAAAAAACCCTGACAGTAACGGGAGAGGTGTATTGTAAACGAATGCAAAAGTGTCCACATTCCTGCTATTGTGTCAAATTGCAAATTAGAATAGGAGCTAAATTATTTCCCAATTCCACCCACAGAATGGCTGATCATAGTGGCTTCTCTTCTGGCGCTGACATTGATTCTGGCAGTCTGCATTGCTGTCAACAGCCGGAGCAGGTAAAGAAGCCCATTTCTAGCTTTGGTTAGAGGAGGTCATTGTTGGAGAACGTGCTGCCTTGCTGTCTTTATTGTTGAGAGACCTATGAAGCTTCTGGTAGCTTTGGAAAAGCACAGAGAAGAGTTTCTGCCACAGTAGCAATCTCTGTGAACAGCACACCTCTTCTTTTGTGATAAACAGTAGTTATCAGACATTGCTGAGGTTTAAGGCTCCGGTCCTGTGCTGCGCGCTGTGCAGTGAACCCTTGCACTTATGTGGAGCCCTATTGAAATCAGTGGGTGAATGGGTCATTATTGTTGTTCGTTTTCACAGTGACAAAAACTGAACTTATGCATGGCAGAGTAAGGAATAATTTCTCTCTGTGTTTTACATACTAATGGCCTGATCCTGCTTCCTCTGAGGTCAATGAAAGTTAATAATATGCTAGATGGATGTGAACAGAAGCATGTACAGTAAATAACAAGGTGGTCCCCAGGTTAACTAAATATAAGTCCACTGTGTGTGTTGCATAGGCCACAAGAGTACAATTACTCTGTGTGATAAGCCGTTTACACCCCATCCAGAGGACTGTAGAGACAGGATTCACCTGCTCCCACTAGCTAAAGAAGGGTCACAGCTGCCAATCCTGATAGCAGGAGTTTGCAGTGAGCCTAGCTGGATCAGCTGCAGAGAATCAATTCCCCAGCCCCTCCAGTAGACTATAAAAGGGTTCTGCTGGGGGGAATTTGAAGCTGGTGCTGATAACTGTTGGAATGGTTCTTTAGTTAGAAGGCTGGAATTGAGAGAAGAATTGAATTGGGAGGGGGAGAAGGAGGTCCTTTGGAGCTTGGCTGACATGAGCCACAGTTTTGACCTTTGCTTTAGGATTGGTTGAGGGAAACCCTGTAGTAAGCAAAGGGTCTAATAATTTAGCAGAAATCTTTTAAGTATTCAGAATATTCCTTGGCAGTGTCAAGTTCACTATTTTCTTCCTTGTTCTCTTAGATTATAATGTCCTTTCTACAGCACCATCCATATGAGGCTCTCAAAATGCAAACATTAGTGAAAATAGCCTCACAACACCACTGTGAGATAGATAAATGCTATTTGCCCCCATTTTACAGATGCACAGAAACCGAGGCACAGAAAGGTGACATGACTTAACCGAGTTTAACCAGGAAGTCTGTGGAAACCAGGTCTCCCTACCAAAGTCCTAAACACAAGACTGTATTTCTTCTCTTTTTAGTAGCTGTTCTGAGGTTTACTATTATTTATTGGTAACAGATTGCCACTTTTATTTTAAACTTGAATTTTCCATCAGTGCAAATCTTCTCATACGCTTTTGTCATGGTACACAATGAGCTACATTAATTCCTGGTTTCCACTGACCCTCCTCAAAAGCAGTGATTCCCTCACCTCTGGGGCCAGCATGCCCAAGAAAGTGAGTGATGCTTAAAAGGGAGGAGACTTAGCCAGGTTGGCCATTGAAATGTGATCTCCACTAGCAGGATACCATAGTGGAAATTAAAGCTGGAGGGAGGGAACCCTTGATTAGATCCTCTCGCAAACTAAAGCAGGCTTATGTGAGGCAGGGAAGTGCAAATTGGGTGAATTCAGACTGTGATTTGAGGGCCAGGTCCTCAGCTGGTGTAAAATGATATAGTTCTGTTCAAGTCAACAGAGGTGGTGCTGATTTACACCAGCTGAGGTTATGGCCCTATGACTATATCACATTAAGTGTGCTCCTTGATAGTCTAGAGAAATTGCTACTCAAGGTAAAACACACAAGAATCTACAACCTCCATCTTGTTAGTTAATCTAGGAATTATAGTGTGAATGTTATGTTTATTGATTTGTGTCACTCTGCTATGTCTACAAAGCTGAGACTGCCTTCTTCTCCTCCCTCTGTTTCCCCCCACCCCACAAATCACCATAGAAACAGACAGGTCCAGCCATGATCAAATACAGATAGAATCTGTCCAGAAATGAAACAATCTGGAAGCTATAAATTATTAACTACTTTTTAAAATTAAAAACATATTTTTACTTTGAAATTCAGGGAGTTAAATGATACATACAGCATAATGCTAGGTGTGTATACACACACACAACACACACCTGCTAATTTGTACTGACTGGGAGGCAAATTTTGTGAAGTAGGAAGGAGGGGTCTGCTCCGACACCCATTGAAGTGAAGGGGAATCTTTCCATTGACTTTAAGGGACACTGGATCAGGCCTTAAGTTAATAAATTCAGGTTTTTAAAAAAAAATCATAGGTAACTTTTTGCTCATTTATTTGACAAGTGTAAATTAGTGTTAATTACTTACAGTAATTTATACTACCTAATAAGTATACTGTAGAATATTTTCTAAAAATTGTAAGTCTTAGAAATATGAAAATAGTAATTTATGATCTCACAATAGCAACTTTGTTGTGAGATCTTTGCTGAAAAGCAGGATGGAGTAAACTGAGGGTTTTGTGAGAGAGTTGTTAGAGAGTTAGAAAGTAGAATTTGGAAGGCTTTCACACATAATTTTTAAATGACCAGCTAAGTTATGATGTGTTTCCAGTATTTAATTGAACTTTAACCAACCAATCACATATAGTTTCATTCTCCTTCTCACACAGGCTGGTCAGGAAGTATATATTTTAATGCTTCAGAATCCAATTTTCACAAGAAATCTTTGACTTGCCTAAAGCACCGAAATGTTCGATGAATTGCTCAAGAGACTGAGCCTCTCTAGTTGGGAGGTTTATGTGCCACAGAATGTCTTAGAAATTCCAACCAAAGAAGTAGATCATTTTGGTGAATAGGGGATAGCTTGATCTTATCATTTAAATTTTCCCTTTTTCACAATTCCTATGTGGGTTATATTTTGAAATAGTGTGACCCAAAGCCCAGCATGACTTGTGGAACCCCAACAAAATGAATGAATATTTTATGTAAAGAATACGCCTTCCGTCTGAATAGCCTCTCCACAATATTCATGGATTGTGGAGGGTCCTTCTGTCCACAATCCAGGATGAAATGCTGCACATTTCAGATATCATTTTGGAAAGAAATAATGCTCTGCCTCACATCCCATGGAATCCCATTACTGTATAGTATTTTCTCTATTGGTGTTGTGTGGGAGTAATTCAGGGCTGAATTCGCTCACATGTGTTGCATAATGTAAACATGGTGAATTGAGACGAGACGGATCTGCTCTCAGTCACATTGGCTAAAACAGCTGTCGTATGTCTGTCTGGCAAAAAATATATATACTTGATTCAAACGAAAGATGGAGAAATAATTTAACTGCCAAATTAGTAGTTCAAATGGAATTCACTTAGCCAAAGCAGGAAGCATTTTAAAACACGTTTGCATAAACATTGTAGTTGTTTTCAAAGAATAGTGCTGCGTGTTTAATTAATTATATTTAACTGTGCAACAGAACCAGAAAGCCAGTTTAACCACTCCATGAGATATCCCTGAATGGTATAAAACCAGCACAGCTAGCTTCTATGCCACTCCTCCTACAGCATAACACAGGGTGTGTTAGGGGGAAGCAGTGGCTGTTCCCACCCCCTTTTTTCCAGAGTGCTGATGCAGTATAATGCATGTCAGCTGACATATCAACCTTTTGGGGCCATAGTCAGCAAGTATAGTTTGTAGCTGTACTAAGGCTGCTCAGAACTACATGAGGGATTGGTCAGCATAGAACCAGTCCCAGGATCAGAAAGCCTCAAATGACTTATTTGTGATCTCATCCTTAGCTGCATCCAGGACGCAGCTGAGAATCTGAAGCATAATATCTAAGACCAGTCTTTATTTTCCATCCTCAATATAGCCTTTAACAAGCCAAACTGTTGATGATAGCATTGTGACCCCTTCCATTACTGTCAGCATGGTTCTAGTCCTGACACACTAAAAAGAGAACAGAAGAGAAAAGTGACCCTCTGGGATAACTGGAGATAGGTTGGAACCCTGGATCCAAATATTACCAGTTCCAAATGTTGAACCTTTGGACCTAGTTCTAAAAATAACTGAGCAATATATGAAGGATGGGATTTTCAAAAGAACTGTGTTCCCACTTAAGTCGATGAGAGCAGAAAAAGGGCAGTGACGGATACTTTTGGATATCCCACCTGAAAAACTTAATATATCCACTAAAGACAAAAGCTTTATGTATTATATTTTAGCTTTTCTCCATTGACAGACTCAAGTTTTATTTCCTTTGCCCCCTTTCTTGAAAATCTGTTCTGTATGTTGTGCTTCCCAGTTCCATAATCTCATTTTGTGTTGCTTATTTTTACTAGATGTGGGCAGAAGAAAAAGCTAGTGATTAACAATGGCAAAGGGTCAGTGTCAGACAAGAAGATGGGTGGACTGAATGGAGAAGCCAGCAAATCTCAAGAAATGGTGCACTTGGTAAATAAACAACAGCCAGATAATCGAACAGGACCCTGTGATGAATTCCTGACCACAGATGAAACGAAAAATCAACAAGAGGCTAACATGAAGACTGGGTTGTAATAGTGTCTCGATCGAGAGTTGGGGAAATCAAAATCACATGGAACTGGGCCTGGAACTCACAGATGCAATGTGCTACTGACGTCTTTTGAGCATAATTAAGCATACATTTTATTCTTCTTTTTAATATTTTTAAAAATCAGGTCCAAATTTAAAAAATTGACATTGCTTTCCGATATAAGCGCCTGAGACTTGCATAAATTTGGCAGTTCCCATTTCCTATCTGGAAGACACTTATATGTAAGGAGGGATGTTAGTTGAAATCATATTTTCTCCAGTTGCAGCACCTTCACTAAGTGGAAATTCAGAAATATCTAGTCACTCCATCTCAAAGGCATTTATGATACTAAATTTACATGGTATGAGCATAAGTGAGGAATAAACATCTAGAGAAAAATAGAGTTAAAGAAAAAAGGGCTTCTGTAGAGTTTTTATTACACCAGAGTTTTTTAAAATCACCTTTCAGCCCTGTGGAGTTTGTCAGGTGCATTCAGGATCTACTGGTATAGGCAAACTGTGACATTTTAGAGTGATTACAGCTAGGGGCTACAATGAGAGAACCCCAAAAGGACAAAACTATTTAGCTCTATTTTTTAAATGCCCATGCATATATAATGTCAATCATTTTTATTGGGGTGAGTGGGAAAAGACATGAAAACTTGAGCTGATAAGTAATAATCTTCTATTCTTTATTATCTTAACAATCTGTGCAGTTATCCTTCAGTTTCAAAGCTGTCTGTTGCTGTCCCCCCCCCATCAATCATATTTTGAGTATGTTCCCTAGTGAACCTTGTTAGTTAAGTTGACAAATAAATGCAGTGACCACAACTCAAACACATATTTCAAAATCTAGCAATAGGAAATGATCAAATAAGATGGCAATATTTTGTTTCTTGCAGAATAGGGCTTTATCTATCCCTGCTCTCAGATTTATCAAAAGATGTTGAGCTTAGCACAACCTGTTTTTCCCCATAATTGTTGCATGTTACACTATCTTGCTGATATTTTAACAGTCAAATTAAAATTATGTGATGTTCTCTTTTGGATTCTACTTCATCCATCTTTTTGTTTAAACTCTGCTTATTAAAAATGCCAAGAGAAATATTGTTCACTTGTTGAAACAAGAAGTTGGAAAACTGCATAAAGATCAAAGAAAATGAAAGAAAACTATTCCAACAACATAAAATAGCTGCAGCTGTATTGCCACATGATTCCCTCCCCTTTACATTTATGTAAAGTATTTGTGTAAACTAAGATGGCATCCAGTACCGTACACTGAATTGATTGAATATATTATCAGCAAGAAATCGAATTACCAGCAATAGTCTAGCCAACTTCACTTTAAGGAAAAATCTAAGTAAAAACAATTCATTATGAAATTATAATCAATGAGGACCCTATGAACCATTGGATGGGAACTGTTAAATGTTTAGTCAGTTAAGCAAAATAGTCCCATTCACTGACCATGGATCCTTAATGAACTGAGAAGAGCCCACTAAAGTCATTTATTTTAATTTCCTTTTTAAAGAAACTTCAGCAGTTAAAATTTCAGCTAGAATTGTCTAATATTGTGCTTTATTCATACCACTATGCATGAAATTGCTGAGGTTGTGTTTCTCAATGTAGATCTTTAGCAGCTCTCCATAAGTGTTTGTTTAATAACATACTGTAACTTGGTAACATTTCTCAGGCAGATTGCCATGGGTGAAATTCACCCTTGTGCAAGAGGGCCAGCAAAGCATGACTTAATTTGACTGCTTAAGTGGCATATGTGCTGGCCCACTGAACAGGGATGTTTCATATGTAGAAAGTCACACATTCGTGGGCTGTATATGATCATACGCTTTGAAGTCAATGGAGTTATACCCGTTTACATCATCAGTAAATATGGTCCAATGTCAACATTCTCATCCCGTCATGAACATACATAACTCAATTATGCTATGGGATATTTGTTTCCTTCAGACATTTTTCATTCCTGAAGAAGTTTTTGACAGTGTTTTCCATCAGCCATTGTAAATCAGAATGGTCTCTTGAAGGATGCATTTAAATAGGCACTGTGCATAAAATTTTATCAAAGCAGAGGGTCAGAACAAGGCCTATTCACCTCTTGAATCCTAGCTGAACATAGGGTCTCTGCAAAGACCTCTTTAAATACAGGCTTTGGCATTTTACACATTCGAATTCTTACTCTAATTAGGAATATACCTATTTAGATTTAATGGGGAAATCTGCCATCTCCTTCCCAGATTATTCAATTTCAGTATCTAGTATGGCAAGGACATCATGACTTGACTTCTTTGGAGGTTTGTTTTTTTATTGTTTTGATAAGGTGGCATGCAATCTCTCCTACAGAAGCAGTGCCATTATTTTATATATGCAAAAGTGATTCATATTAGATGTCATGTGCCACATGTATAATTAATTTGCATTATAGTTTCAAAACTAGATTGTCATTTCATGCGTATAACAATTGTTTGTACTGAGGCGGGGTTTTTATTGTTTGGGGACTTTTTTGTTTATCACAGAGCACCCTTGATATATTTGTATATTTATTAACAGATTAATTAGAAAGAAGAAAGAATCCTCTCTAAATTTTAACCAGAAACATGGAAAAAAAGTAAATTGAGCTTCCAAAAATAAATTTGATTCTAAATTAAGGGAAAAGATAAGACTGGCATTATTATTAGCTAGGGGTTTTTTTTTGTTTTGCTTTGTACCAGTGAGCCACAGGTCTATTTACATGGTTGTAAACCTTAGGCTACACCCAGCTGAAACTGCCTGTACTCTTGCATGCTTTACTAACATTGTGTGTGGGGTTTCCAAGCATTCATTCATCTGGGAAAAAACTCAGTTTGCCAGTTTGAAATGGGTGGTTTGGCTTCTCTAGAAATTGGAGGATGAGTCCAATTCTCATCTCACCTAGAGCTGAATCCTGTAAGATGCTGACCTCCCATTGAAGTCAGTGGCCGTTGAGGGGGCTCAGCACTTAATGGAATCAAGCCCTTACATCTGTGTCACACCAGTGAAATTCCACTAACTTAGATCGATTTGGTGTGTGCCTGGGCCCAATATTTTTTGCAGGCACCACTTAATTTTCCAGTGAGACGGGTTTAACTCAGAAAAAGCAAAGTATAGGACAACCTTGTAAGCAGCATATGGTGTTCAATTACCTCAAACAGTGCTGAAAATAAGAAATATAGCCATTACTTGAATTTACATGGAAAGGTTATCTAAAGCATCTAGTGTATTAAGAGCGAGAGGTGACTATAATCGCTCTCTTTCTGATCAATGACTTCACCCATGTTTTCTGGATGATTTATAAAGAACGGTTTATTGAAGCAGAGAAGTGAGAAGGGTTACATTATGGTAAAAAGCTTTATGGTAAGGGAGTGTGTTAAATATTCTCCAAAAAGTCAGTGGGAATCAGAATTCCAGTATGATATTTCTATGTTTTTGCTGGCATCTCAGGGATGTTTTGTGTGTGTAATTTGACAGTAACAAGAACCTACCCCTGTATTAAGTAGTTTGGAAGGATTTAGCATGCTGATGGAGACTTTCAAAGAGATCATTACCAGGGCCCTGATTACCACAGAGTAATGGAACTGTGCAGCGACAGAGACTCCCGCCTTGGTTAGAGGAGTGCTTAATTAACCTTTCAATGTCTCCAGGAAAGTAACTATTTCCCTCTCAGAATTAGCTGTGAGACCCAGGAGACTTAGGGCTTGTCTACACTTACCAGGGATCAACACTGTGGCGAACAATGCACTGGGGGTCGATTTAGCAGGTCTAGTGAAGACCCATTAAATTGACCACAGATCGCTCTCCCATCAACTCCGGTACTCTATCAGAACGAGAAGAATAAGGGGAGTTGACAGGAGAGTGTCTCCCATCGACACAGTGTGCTGTGGACCCCGCAGTATCTAAGCTATGTCGACTTGAGTTACATTACTAACTAGGGCCGGCTCCAGGCACCAGCTTCTCAAGCAGGCTCTGGAGAGGAGCAGCACGTCCAGGTATTTGGCGGCAATTCGGCGGACGGTCCCTCACTCCACCTGGGAGCGAAGGACCTCCCGCCGAATTGCTGCCGCAGATCGCGATCACGGCTTTTTTTTGTTTGTTTGTTTTGTTTTTGTTTTGGCTGCTTGGGGCAGCCAAAACCCTGGAGCCGGCCCTGTTACTAACATAACTCATATGGCATAGTTTAGATTGTCTTCCCCCGTAGTGTAGACAAGGCCTCAAAGAACTTCATTGAGCCAGCAGTTGGGGGGACTATTTGGATTTAGATTGGCTTCTTGGGGGAAGTTATTCAGTATTGCAGCCAAAAGCTTTTACTTCATCTTAGTAAGCTACTCATGGCTCCTACTACTCTAGTTGAAGTTGATTAGACTGAATTAGATTTGATACTTTATATTTAGATAAATATAGACACAGGTGATAGATCTGGATACTGATTAGCTTTCTGATATAGGGAAGAAAATGTTGAAACCCAAAGTTGCCTGTGGTGAAATCATGCCTCCATTGAAGTCAGTGACAAGTCTTCCATTCACTTTAATGGAGTAAGGTGTTTTGGGGAACAGAGCTTAATGTGATTAGGATGGGAGACAGAATGCTGTAGGCAGCAAGAAGTTTGTGAGATAGTTAAGAGAAGTGGTGCAGTGAGAGTGAAATCTCTGTGTTACTCTCTGGGAAAGTCCCTTCACCAGAACTGGTACTTAGCAGCTGACACTTGAACATGTAATTCTAGGCAAAAAAACCCTGAACTGATCTTTCCCAATGAGCTTTCCTCCCACTGTTTGTAAGCTGAATGTGAGATCTCTCCCACTCACAGCTCATCTAGTTATTACTATGCCAGGTGGCAAGCAGTACATACCCAGTGCACATGTCTGCTGTTAAGAACAACTGCTTTCCCTACTCAAAATAAAGAAAACCAGAGTGTGAATTTGGCAAAGAGGACTAATGATACCCTTTAAATATGGTTCAGATTATACTTTTGTCTTCATTATCTCTATTTAAAGCTATTGTTAAAGATGTACTTTCCCAGTGTTTAATACACAGCTTCTGGAACTGTCCATGCCAATACTTTCTGGCACCCATTATTATGTTTTTAAAGTTTACTCAGGCTAAGCAGGTTTGTGGTTGTTGGTTTTTCCCTTTTCATGGAGGAATTATGGAGTTTTACCAGTTAACATGGAATGAAAATCCACTTTTGTATGCATGTACATTGCCCACATTCAAGTCAGCTGTGAATATTGAACATTTCCCAGTATTGCAATTTTTGGAAAGTAGTGATGATAAAAAGTTGCTGTTTATTAAAAGTGTCCTCAATCAGAGGTGGCCTCCTGCCCTCAAGAACTCTGATTGTTTTTCAAGGGGAAAGGCAATTGAAGTCAATGAAAGCTCTACTTTTGTCCTTACAGTCAGCATGTGTTCCATGGTCACCTGGAAAACATCTAAACCATGGTATTTGCCTGTAAGCACTGCTTAAAGCAGTATTTCTCAAACTGGGGTCACCGCTTGTGTAGGGAAAGCCCCTGGCGGGCCGGGCTGGTTTGTTTACCTGCCGCGTCCCAGCTCCGGCTGATCGCGGCTCCCACAGGCTGCGGTTCGCTGCTCCAGGCCAATGGGAGCAGCTGGAAGCGGCGCGGGCCTAGGGACTTACTGGCCGCCACTTCCAGCAGCCCTCATTGGCCTGCAGCGGTGAACCGCGGCCAGTGGGAGCCGCGATCGGCCGGACCTGCGGACGGGGCAGGTAAACAAACCAGCCTGGCCCGCCAGGGGCTTTCCCTACACAAGCTGCGACCCCAGTTTGAGAAACACTGGCTTAAAGGGAAGTCACAATTTTTTATTATAAACTTTTCCACTCTTTTCAGATTTTCTGGGGACAAGTGAATCCCTTTTATCTAATTTCGAACCCACTGGAATATGGAGGTTTGAAAGTTTGACGTAAACATCACTGAGTTGTGCTTAGGAAAAAAGGAATAGAGAAGAAAATCCAATGATAAAATTAAAGTGAAAATTGATGAGAGATCAGAATGAAACCCAAAGGCAGAGAGACAGACAAAAGGAACAAAGAGGGGAGTGAAAAAAATTCTCATAAAAAATAGACCTAGTTTTAATGCCATATATAGGGACCTCATTGTGCCAGACTATATTTTTGGAAAGTTCCTCTATTCCTTATACATAGCAAAGGCTTTCCTCTACCCAGGAAAATTTTTTTTTCAAATAATTGCAGCATCACTGGAAGGATGTATTTTAATTTTCAGGGAAATAAGACTTGTGAATTAAAATTGGTTTTGAGTATCTTGTAAAGCTCAGTACAATTGTTTTAAAAAATCACAAAACTACCCTCCATAATGTTCACTAATCCCTATTTCTCCAGAAACAATTAGAGTTTTTGCTTATTCCCTCACAAGCTTTGAGAGGAAAATAATATTTTAGCCATTTTAAGATAGAATTGTGAAGTTAAAAACCGTATATATTTTTGTATGTCATTTAGCAGTTTGTTTCTTTTGGATTGCTCGAAATAAAATTTATTGTTTCTTCAAGTGAAAAGGCCAAATTCTGATCTCATTTATGCCTTGATTCAGGAAGGCGTGTAAACATTTTCTTAGCTTTAAGTGAAGAGAGCAGATTCTGAAAAAAATGGTTCACATTGAGCTTAATTGTGGAAATGGACAGGTGTGTATGAACTGGGGATGGAATGAGGCATCTAATGTTTTCCTTACTCGGTTTACCTATCGCTAACACTGCCGTAGAACTAAGCTCCCCTGCCCTGTGTAGCTTTAAGGGTCTAAGGTAAGATAAGATTACAATACCCAGACACACTCAGAGTTCATGCTGAAATAATGGATCATGGAATAACACCTTGATAAAAGTGATCTATTATCATTTATTCACTCTCTATCAGGGCCAGCTGCAGGCACCAGCTTGGCAAGCAGGTGCTTGGGGCAGCCACTCTGGAGAGGGGCGGCAGGTCCAGCTATTCGGCGGACGGTTCCTCACTCCCGCTCCGAGCGAAGGACCTTCCGCCGAATTGCCGCTGCAGATCGCGATCGCGGCTTTTTTTTCTTTTTTTCCGGCTGCTTGGGGCGGCCAAAACTCTGGAGCCGGCCCTGCTCTCTATACACCAGGAATGAGAGCCTGGTTCTAGCTCTGGCCCCTTTATACCAGGTAAAGGACCAGGGTGTTGTAAAGGGGACCTAAAAGCCCTGGTTCTGTCTGGGAAGAATTTGTTTGGTGCAGAAATTGAGGCAGACAGCCATAAGGCTGCCCTCGGGTGATCCTCTTGTAAGCAGGGCCGGTGCAAGGAAGTTTCGCACCCTAGGTGAAACTTCCACCTTGACCCCCCCCCCCAGCCCTGCAGCAGCTCCCCCGCCCCCCCCTCCGCACTGAGGCGCCCCCCTCCACGGCAGCTCCCCCCCCCGCCCT